CGGCCCCCAAAAAAAATAAAAAAAAAAAAAAAAAAAAAAAAAGTTAAATCGCGATAGCTGTAGATTATCACGGATAATATGAACAAAGCAGTGACACTCATGTTCTGTTTGGGGTCAAAGCTTCAATAATAGATGCTAAATTTAGAGAAGCATATTAAAATAATTTAGAGGGAATACTTTATAATTTTGAAATTACTACTGGGCCATTAAATGTCAATTCAAACCAGAAGTATGTTTTCAGTAGTGTGCCCTACATTTTATTTATTTTTTTAGAAAGAAATTAATGCTTTTCAGCAAGGATGCTTTAAATTGATCTAAAAGTGACCGTAAAGACATTTATATTCTCCCAAAAGATGTACATTTCAAATAAATGCTATTCTTTCTACTCTTCCTGAAAAATAAGTGTACAACAAACATTTAAAAATTGATGATAATATGATATATTTCTTGAGCACAAGATCAGCATATTAGAAAGATTACTGAAGGATCATGTGACACTGAAGACTGGAGTAATGGCTGCTGAAAATTCAGCTTTGACACGACAGAAATACATTACATTTTAAAATAGATTCAAGTAGAAAACAGGCCTTTTAAATTGTAATGATTTCTCACAAAATTACTGTATTTCTATCAAATAAATGGATCCTTAGTAACCATAAAGAGACTTTTCAAATATGTTTAAAAAATTACCAACCCCCAAATTTGGACTTTTGATTTGACCATTTTCCCACCCAGTCACATGTAAAAACTGTGAAATTTTAATAGATTTTAATAATATATTACTCTTTAAATATTTATGAATTCAATTAGTAGTTTGGCTTCAACCATTTGTGTGTCTTCACCTTTGTTCAGAAAATTAACAAAATAAAAAATGTGGTAGATTAGACATGAAATAATCCTATTATTCTTACTAATAAATCACAGGGATGTCTGGAAAACCAAAGAAAAAAAGTCAAACATACCAAACATGAGGGTTGAACTTTTCACTGAAAACATTTCATTGGGCCTGTTAAGGAGAGACAAGAAAGACATGCAAACATATATACACACACACACAAGACCACCCCAACTATCATGACTGCTGTGGAATGTAGCGTTACCCCCCCAAAAAAAAAAAAAAACTACTCTGTGGTCTCCCCTCAAAAGCTGGAAGAAAAAAAAGGAAGGGAAACCTTTCTTCCTCCTTGTCCATCTAAACTTGAGAAACACACCGAGGAAATATCCTGCCCTGGAACCATTTTACAATGCTTTTGATCACAGAAACTTCCCCCAAACTTACCGAGATGGGGTCCAGGAGGAGAACCGGGCAGATTTGTCCCATTTATGCAGTTCAAATTCTGGTTTCAAACGGGGGGGGGGAAGCAAGCCTGCAGCCATTATGTCCACAATTTGCCCCAGTCAGTCAGACAGGCATCTGCCTCTGGGAATGTTTGGTGTGTAAATTACGCGTTACCTCGAAAGCACGTTTCAGTTCCTCAAAGTCGTGTTTCCCAGGGGCGTATTTATGATGTGAAGGACTTCCCACTACAACAATAACACGACCCCCGTGAGCATGAGGCCTTTATGAAGTGCGCAGATGCCACACATCATCACTCCAACAAAAAGGATCCACTTCAACGTCACACAAGAGTGTTTGTGACTCACTGTAAATGGGAGTATTGTGTGTGAGCTTGAATGAAACTGACCTGGTTCTCAAACGCTTTGGATCTGGTCCCAACGTATCTTCACAGCACTGGCCTTTATACGAGAGGTCATGTATGGACATATAGATCAAAAACCTGGTTAAGAAGATGGTATTTCCTGTGTTCCTGTAAGACAGATACACATATTCACATGGTTTGGGGCAATTTAACAGTGAGCTTAAGTTATGGGCTCCAAGATGTTCTTCATTGCGAGCGCTCCGTGTGCATTTTACCCGATGTAGCATGTGTTTTTGATGAGCAAATATAGATCTGAATTTCAAATAAACGTAATGGCGAGCAGACGCCGTGCAGGTGGGAGAGCATTCCTGAGAGTTGAGGTAAAGGGGAAGCGGAATTAAAAATATCCCAGTCGTCTGGCTTGGCTCCAGATGTGTGAACCAGCGGGAGGCCCCCGCGAACGGTTAACGGAGCAGATGAACAGTAGGGGGCGCTGGGTGCAGCAGATCCTATTGGCATTTCAAGTGGGAGGCCGTTTCAGCACAAGACACGATGATTAATGACTAGCATCATCCCTACTGAGAGAAAACGCACCACTCGCAGCCCCCCCAAAAATATACATGTGCCTCTTCCTCCAAGAATAAAGGGATGAAAAGAACAAGTGTGGGGACGTTCTACTCCCTTCATCCTCTCGGCTCTGTGTGTACTGTGGGTAAACTCACACATATGGCACATCTGAGGGTAATCATCTCACACACACTCTCCCTTTATCTCGCAGAAGAGATATTTATTACTTTGTCTAGAGAGGAGATTGTGTGTCATATGTTCAGAATGGAATCCTAACTTAGAGCAAGAAATATATGTAAATGTAATAAATGTAAATCTGCCTTTGTTATGAATAAATCATGATTCACCAATAACTCTCATACTAAACTTTATTCTAAAAAATTTTTCATAAAGTAGGAACAACTGAAACCACATATATAAAACTGTCCTTTAGTAAGGGAGACATTATTTTACTAGGTTATCATCTCATGAAAAATGTTTGGGTAATTTAATTTCAATTTTGCATAAATGTGTCAAAGATAATTGATGCTTGGCTGTGATCTGCTTTGAAAATGTTACTAACAAATCCTACTTGAGCAATAGTTGCTATTCGCAATTTGCTCTATTCTATATATCAAAGTGTTACCAAATAACAATTTCTTTAAAAAATCTTTAAATAAAAAAGGCAGATAGAGTGCTTTGAAATGCAACCGTTATTTCTAGCCCACATCCAATCAAGTTCATTTTACTAAAAAATAAAAAAAAATAAAAAAACTTTTCTTAGTTCATTCCTATGGGATATTCTGTAAAGTGTGAGTTGGCAACAGTAACCAATGAGGTGGAGCTTAGTGAAGGGTTGAAAGGGTAATTCACCGCTGGAAAGATGGGCTTTTAATTAAACTTGGATGTCTATGCAGTAGAAGGGCAAAAAATGCGTTACATGACTAGAGAAAACGGAGAAAAGGGGCTATGAAATTCCCTTTTGCCAAAAATGTAGGGAAATTTCAACACCCATAATGCCCAGGGCTCCAACTGTCCGTGGGTGGGAATTTGTAGTTAACAAAAACACTAAAGCTGACAAACCAACAGGAGATCTGGGTGCAGGCTAACACAGATAAAGGGTACACACCGTTCATTTGAATGTACTACAGATAAAGCTGATTGAAAATCTGCAAACTTGTACTTTAACTGTTAAAAAAAAAAAAATTTTTTATAAGTCATTTAAAGAAAACCATAGTTAATATTGCTTCCAGATCATTTATCACTTAGACTAAACAAAAGGGTCATGATGAGTGCACTGCATGTAAGATACAGTATCCCATGCACTTTGTTGTATACTACATATTTAGGCAAATGTTGTAGGTCATCCGGGTATTCCATAGGAAAAAAATCTGCATGCTGTCTATTATATACATACTGCACAATGTGCGTGTGGGGGGGGGGGGGGGG